GGAAATTAGGATGGGATGTCTGGTTCTCGTTCTGCCCGAATGATAATCTCCAATCCTGATAATTTGTCTCTTTCTTATGTAATTTCTTTAATTTACTTCTAGCAAGGTGATGTCCAGGAGGAAGGTCATCCAGGAAAAGTTGACAGAATATCTAGTTTTCATGCTACTTCACCATCACATGAACATGCTGACCTGTCAAAACTGATGCTACAAATCACATTATTATTGAGTCAGAGGCTGCAGAAGTTGAGAATGCTTGTAACGTTTGTGGAGAAAATGTTGATCCTTTGGATCTGTTTCTTCCCCCGCCACCAAAAGAAAAGTGCACAGAGGATCTGCAAGTAAGTTCTTTATGCTTCATGGATATGCTACCTTCAGATTTCAGCACATAGTTTTTAACGTAATAACCCTATGCACCTCCCATTTTAGAATAATTTTATCCTATTAGCTCTATTATATTTCACTATAATGGTGTACACTCACTTGATATGTTTAATGTCCTGATGATGTCATTGCAGAGGAAAATAGACAAGTTTCTTGCTTTGAAGAAAATTGGAAAAAGTTTCAATGCAGAAGTGCGCAATAGGAAGGATTATCGGAACCCTGACTTCTTGCTGCATGCAGTGAGATACCAAGATATTGACCAGATTGGGTCTTGCTTCAGTAAAGATGTATTTGACCCCCATGGATATGACAAAAGCGACTACTATGATGAAATAGGTCACTTGCTTTCGGAATGTGTTTGTTGCCTTTTTATGTTTCTCACACACTCTTATGGCACATATGTATCTCTGCATATTATTTCTGATTTAGGTTTCCGTTTCTCTGAAATCTTGCTTTTGTGAACTTGTATAAGCTTTTGCGATTTGGCAAAATTTTCTGTGTTTTTTTGCCATGGGGTTTAATAAATAATGAAGGGGTTTGATAAGGTAATGCATAAATTTAGAGCTTTCTTGGTCATTTTTTGATATCTATGAGAAGTTCCGTCTCAAGCTAACAATGAATCTTTTCTTGCATACTCCACTAAATGAGAACTTTCGCTTGTAAATTTATCATATTAGCATTGTTATCATGTCTAGTGGTCTGTTTTGACATTATCGGGCTTGTATAGTCTTAGTTTGATTGGAACAAATGTAATTTGATTGCCTGTTGTCTGCTGCATCTGGTTAGACTGCTACCTCTTAGGTGGAATATTGAAGTTCTTATAGCACTACATTAATTGTTTTTGCTATACTTATTCTAAACGTGCCTCTTAGGCATTTAAATATACATATATATTTAGTTTGCAAACAAAAATACTTGAGAATCTTTCAGTAGGATCAAGTTTTCTGTTCTGTGATTGATAGGTGATGCTGTCTTGCTGATTGTTGCTTTTAAAATTAACTGTCAGCATCTATGCCACATATTTTCTGAAAAATTAATGCTAGTTACATACTGCATATTCGACATAGAGGTTGACATGAAGCGCGAAAGGGAAAGAAAGGAGCAAGAAAATAAGAAAAACCAGAAGGTTGAATTTCATTCTGGGGGAACTCAACCTGGAATAGTTACTTCGGCACCGAAGCCAAACATTCCTATCCCTGGTAAGCGAACATTACTAGCAGCAGATGCTTTTTTTTGGGGCATCAGTATTGCATTGTTTAATGGAGTTCACATGTTGAATAATTTTGTAGGTGTTCCAGCTTTAGTGGCTGGTGGCTTGCCTTCTGCAACTGATGCTGGTGTACGTGACGGTAGACCAAACAAAAAAACAAAGTGGGATAAGGTACAGGTTTTTGCAGAAAGCTTATATATGTTGCGAGTTAATAGTAATGCCACTAATAGGTTTAATTTTTCATCTCCAGGTGGATGGCGATAGAAGGAATCCTCTGCCCTCTGGGGGCCAGGATTCTCTGTCCGCTGTTGGTGCTCATGCAGCACTTCTATCAGCTGCTAATGCTGGTGCTGGATACACAGCTTTTGCGTAAGTGATAACTTCTTTCAAGTTCTTCGTTTTATTAATCCAAGCTCCAAAAGTTTGTGTTTGCATTCCGCCATATTGGATTCTACCACGTGCATTTTGATTTTGGTTAGGTTTGCAAATCATTTCAATGAATGTTGGCCTGGATTTTGGATTTTGGAAATAAATTTACACCATTAATAAGTTCTACAGATACTCTAATTTAAATACTTTAATGCTACATAAACATTATATATATATTTTTCTTAAGTCATATCATGCATGTGAATGCATCAGAAATATCTAAGAAACTGTTCAGAGCCGTTACCTGCGTTTATTGGTTTCTGCAGAAATATATTATCAGGTTTGAGTAGATAATCTAAGAACTTGGCTTTTTACTCTCTGCATTTTAAATGGGTTTAGGTTTCCTTTTCGTTAAGGGAATTGGTGGGACTGGAGGAAGAGGAGCAGAGTTCGATGATGGTGGGTGAAGGAGTTTTTTGAGGAGAGAAAAAAAGATACTGTATTAGCAATCCACCAAGGGCGTATCCATTACAAAAAAGATCAAAGTTTACAAAACTGAATCATATAGATATGAATAGGTTCCAGAATCCAAGATCTCTCATGGAGTAGGATGACACTGAAGAAACATTTAAGTCTGAACCCTTTTATCTTGACAACTAACAAATTAGAGACCAAAAGATAGCCCGAGGAATGAGCTTCTTTCTAGACGTATGGGTGTATAAACCATCCCAGACAAACAATTAGCTCTTATAGACCTACTTGCAGACTTAAGCCCAAACCCCAAAGCATTCTCCATTCTGAATACCACAAATGAAGACGGTAAGGAGTGCTATTGTCTTGGAGGCACATTGCGCAACTGTTCATCATAATGCAGCCCTTCTTCCTTGGGTTGTCTATAGTAAGAATATGTTCGCAAGTGGCATCTCACCAAAAAAAATCATGCGAAGGGGAGGAGTTGTTTTGATGGTGAAGTCATTTGATTTAAATTGGGTCCGGTAAATTGTTTGTTTCATACATGGAACGAATGTCTTAACTTTCCTAGTTTTTATACTTGAGATTGTTCCAATATGAAAGCTCAGTTCCAAAATGGATTCTGAATTGAGTTGAAATAATTTATTTAATTTCATTAAATGTACAGAACTATAGAAACAAATTATGGTGATTTAAATTAGAAGTAAGCATAAGCATATAAACATATATTTTGCAAGTATAAACATACAAGACCCATCAGGTAAGGAATAAAATAATTTCCCAGAATATATTTACAATTTTGTGATTTATTCCAATCATGAGTTCAATTTATAAATGATTGGAAAATGAAGTCAAAATTTTATGTTCGTTCCCAAAATAGCTTAAGAGGTTTCTGTGGATACATTATAAGCTACTTTGTTTTGCCAAACTCCAATTCGATGTATTGTGCCTGACTTGGTAGAGATTTCGGGCTATAGGATATGTTTACTTATATTGCATTATGACGACGATGAAGTTTGCCTTAGATTAATGTTTGGACTTTGAAATATTTTCAAATTTTTTGTGGATTCCATACTATGGTGACGGTGAACATCCTCAAGAAGATACAAACTAATCCTGTATAGAAAGAATTTCACGTAGAATTAAAATATATTAACCATCAAGATTTCTTATAGAATTTACGCTACGACTTGGCTGAACTAAAGATTGAATTTGTCAATGAGGTGTATAAATTTTTTTTTTTTTTTTTTGATTTGTTGAACAGTGCATATTGATAATTTTGTTATTTGTTTCCTTGTAGGCAACAAAGGAGGCGAGAAGCAGAAGAAAAGAGATGTGGTGAAAGGAAGTTGTAGGAGAAGTTCAGGAGCCATTAATTCTTCCACACGGCCTACTAGTGGAAGAGAAAAATATACATTTGTTTCACTTGTGACGATAAGTTATACCTGTAGCTTTCTTACTTTTTTCATACTTAAAAATAATGATATAAATGTTTCTCTCTCATGTCTATCTATATCTATATATTCCGCCGGGTAGTAGTATACGAATGAGTTGTGGTTGCATCAGACTAAATGCTGATTTGGGTTTTTTTTTTTTGTTGGCTTGGGTTCCCAGAACAGAAAACTGAACAACGCATAACTCAGGGTGGCTTGAAATCCATCCATGTTCTTATCTTATGGAGAGGTGGTTGCTGCTTTATTTGTTTGTTTATCCGATCATCTGAAAAAAAAAAAAAAAAAAACAAAACAAAAGGTGTTTTAGGTAATGAAATCAGAAGAAGGTAGTAGAAATGATAGAATTTTTAAGTATTACAGTTTGATTAAGGACAATGTTGAAAATAAAATGTTAAACAATGCTTTGAAATGTTAAAAGTATTAAAAAAAAAAAGGTGCATAAAATTAAAAAAAATTAGAGTCTACATGTTCCAAAATATTAAATTCCAATAAACAAAACTTATTGTTTAATTTAATTTAATTAGAATAATCATAATTACTTGAATAATCCGGACATCGTTACGCTATGTTTTCCCCTAACTATGCAAAGAAAGTGTGACTTTCACATGCTTCATTTTAATTTTAAACGTACGGTCAGGTCAGTTTAGGTTCTGTCACTGACAGTTGGTGATTAAAATTAATTAACACTAATTACTCTACTAATTTCATTTTATATTTTTAGAATTGGAAAATAATATATGTTTTTATTTTAATAAAAAGAAAGATGGCTCCAGTTTCCATGCATCTTTGTCTTGTTTTGGACTTCGATTAGAGTCGTTGTAGATTCGTACACATTTGTTTTTCAATCTGGGATTTCATCATTTTTAATCAAATAATCTGAATTTTTGTGAGGATAATAAAACATCGGGTGTGTAATCTTTTACGAGTATAATATTATATTTGTTACATAAAATATGAAACACTAACGTGAATTTAAGTACTTGACAAAATGACTCCCATTCATTTATTACACATCTGTTATAAATAGTACACACACCTATTAATTAATTACCAACTGGGTCTTCTGTAATCTGCACCTTTTTTTTTTTTTTCTTTTTCCCCACTATTATAGAAAAAGAAAAAAATGGTGTAAAAAAATATATGAAATTATAATATATAAAAAATTGGTCTAAAAATGTTAAAAAAATGATTAAGGAGAAAAGACTGGTATAAATTTCTGTAAATTCCATCTTAATCTCACTCGAAAAAGTGTTTAACAAAACACACGGTTGAACTTTTCTTAAACCTCTTTGTATTCCTGTCCGTAAGATCTGAAATCAACGGCGGTGATTAAATAAATATCAAAACCATCAACTTTGGTTAGGTCATATCTTTTTCTATTTTGATTTTTTTTTTTTTTTGACTGAAAAAAAAAAAAAATGTCTTTTTCACTTGAATTTTCTTTCTCTTCTTTTAAGGCAGAAATAGTTATTAGCATATAAAAATCCAAAGCTTGTCGACGTGGTCTGGTTAAGAGTTTACCTTTTCACCTTTGTCTTATTTTCTGTTTTTGTAAATTAAATTTTGTTGAATTTCATGTGAGAATTAATATTAATTACTACAAATTTTTTATAAATTTATTTTTTTTATGACTTATTTAGTTTTGGATTAAATAATTGATTTTTAATTATATGAAAACTGATTTATAACTCTTAAAAAAAAATAAAAAAATAAAATCATGGGTATTTTTTATTTTCAAATATTATTGTATAATTATGCTTTGGCTATCATCATCATTACAGTTCCAAATATTAGAGCTGTAAAATTTATTAGGTAACGGTAACATTGGGTTTGGCGTTTCCTTAAGGGGCAATTTGGGAAATATGATAAAAGTTAACGGAACTTTTTGCAAATACTAAAAAGCACATAAAAACTCTCCTACAAAGCAGAGTGGGCGGCAACTCACCATTTTCTTCTCTCTTCCCCATTCTCCCCTCTGAAAACCCCTCCTCCCCTCCCCACCCTCCTTTTTTTTTTTTTTTTTTTTAATTTCTCTCTTTTGCTTCCTTAGCCTCTTCTCTTTTTCTCCTGTCGCTGTTTTCTTTTTTTCCCTCTTATCTTTTTTCATTGATGCTATCAAATTCCATCCTTTTGGTTTGCATCTACTACTCAGTCTAGTAGATACCCAGTTGGGTTTTAGAGGAAAAGGAAGAAGCCATGGCAGCAGCGCCAAAACCAGAGGAGATAAGCCATCCGCCCATGGACCAGCTTCAAGGCTTGGAGTATTGTATTGACTCAAATCCATCTTGGGGTATGCTCTTAAACTCGATATTTCCTTCGTTCCTTCCTGTGTTTTCTACTAACTTCATTCTTCAATTTTCTGAAATACAGGGGAAGCAATCGCTTTAGGTTTTCAACATTATATTTTGGCCTTAGGAACGGCAGTCATGATTCCTTCTTTTCTTGTTCCTTTGATGGGAGGTGATGATGTGAGTGATCAACTTCCTTTTTGTTCGTTTTCTCTGAATAAGTATCTTTCTCTTTCCTTTTTCTTTTTCTTTCTTATTTTCTCACTCTAAACACCCTACCCAGTTACGGAATAAACTGAACATTTTGACGTATCCAACTTCGTGTGATTTTTTTTTCTGGGTTAAATTTGATGTTTCAGGGTGATAAAGTGAGAGTGGTACAGACTCTACTATTCGTTGAAGGCATTAATACGCTTCTACAAACTCTGTTTGGGACTAGACTACCAACCGTGATTGGAGGGTCGTATGCGTTCATGGTCCCCATCATATCAATCATTCACGATTCATCCTTGACGAGTATCGAGGACGGCCATGTGGTTAGTATATTGTTTTTTAATCTATTGCAGTTGGATTCCACTCCATAAAGTAACAGTCTTTTTAGCAAATTTTGAGTGACCCACATTTGTCCAAGTTCTGTTCATTGATTTAGAAATTTTGTGTGGACTAGTTAGAAATCTCAAGGCCATTTATGCATTTGTGTTAATGTGGCTGTATGCTGTTACTTTTGGCATTAGCTAAAAAGCAACCATTTTGTATGATGATTATACAGAGATTTCTTAGTACCATGAGAGCAGTCCAGGGTGCACTAATAGTAGCATCAAGCATTCAAATTATTCTGGGCTATAGTCAAATGTGGGCAATCTGTTCCAGGTATTTACTTTTCATTCTAACTGGAATTAGTCAAGGACACTGGATTTTAGCATAACCCATTTGATTTACTTTGGTGATATTAAACCTTTTCAGGTTCTTCAGCCCACTTGGAATGGTTCCAGTTATAGCACTAGTGGGTTTTGGTCTTTTTGATAGAGGCTTCCCTGTGGTATAATAAAAACTGATTTATCTTTGGCCAATTTATAATATTAGATTCATAGTACCCAATTTAGAAGGCCTTTTGTTCATAGATTTATCTTTGCTTCAATCAGGTTGGACGTTGTGTGGAAATTGGCATTCCCATGTTGATCTTATTTGTTGCCTTCTCTCAGGTGAGACAAAGTTCACTAGCAGGAAAACTTGTTATGCACTAGATTTTTGTTGGTCAAGTTTCAAGCAATGCCACAATCAGTTTTTCTAATTTATATAATGTTAATTTGTTCTGCACAGTACTTGAAGAATTTTCATTTCAGACAATTGCCAGTACTGGAGAGGTTTGCTCTTCTTATATGTGTTACGGTGATATGGGCTTATGCTCACCTGTTGACAGCCAGTGGTGCATACAAACATCATCCAGAACTAACCCAGATAAACTGCCGAACCGATAAGGCAAACCTCATATCTTCTGCTCCATGGTTAGTCCCAAAACTTCAATTTTTCATTCGTTCAATCTTTAGTTCAATGTGTCTATTTCTGGATATATACACATATACATGCTGTTGCTTCATTGGCTGAGTTATGTTAATAATATCAGGATAAAGATTCCTTACCCCCTTCAATGGGGTGCTCCTACTTTTGATGCTGGTCATGCTTTTGGAATGATGGCTGCTGTTCTAGTCTCATTGATTGAGGTACTCACTAGTAAAGAACTAGATAGAAAATGAAATATTATTCTTTGTTGATTGATAACTGGCTTTGTGTTGCTTAGTCAACTGGAGCTTACAAGGCTGCATCACGCCTAGCAAGCGCTACACCTCCTCCGGCTCATGTTCTTAGTCGTGGAATTGGCTGGCAAGGCATCGGCATCTTACTCAGTGGATTATTTGGGACGTTAAGTGGCTCAACAGTCTCTATGTAAACTAATTTTCTCTCTGTTTTCTCTCATTCCTCATTTTCATACAACATTAACTAACTGCCAAGAAAATAACAGAGAAAATGTGGGGTTGCTGGGAAGCACCCGAGTTGGAAGCCGCAGGGTGATTCAAATATCAGCTGGTTTTATGATATTTTTCTCCATGTTAGGTGAGTGGCTTTATATACACAAACTTCTTTCATATACACGTCTCTTGTGTAACTTTCTTCTTTGGTTTCTTCTTCCCTAGGAAAATTTGGAGATACACAAACTTCTTTCATATACACGTCTCTTGTGTAACTTTCTTCTTTGGTTTCTTCTTCCCTAGGAAAATTTGGAGCATTGTTTGCATCAATACCATTTACCATTTTCGCTGCTGTGTATTGTGTTTTGTTTGGTCTTGTAGGTGAGTGGAATTTCATATTTGTTTGTTTTCTATTCCTCAATTGGTTGTGTTCTTACATGCTCCATTCTAACTTTAATTTCAGCTTCTGTCGGGCTGTCGTTTTTGCAATTCACAAACATGAACTCGATGAGAAATCTTTTCATCGTGGGAGTATCCCTCTTCTTAGGTTTGTCTGTTCCAGAGTACTTCAGGGAATACACGGCCAGGGCTCTTCATGGTCCTTCTCATACCAAGGCTGGATGGGTGAGTTTATACTCTAAATACTCCCTTCTGTGATTTCAGTCTTTGGCTTATCGGTGGTGTTATTGGATGCAGTTCAATGATTTCCTAAATACAATCTTCTTTTCATCGCCAACTGTTGCGTTGATTGTGGGGGTGCTGCTCGACAACACTCTTGACTACAAGGACAGCGCCAGAGATAGAGGGATGCCATGGTGGGTTAAATTCCGGACATTCAAAGGAGACAGCAGGAATGAAGAATTCTACACCCTCCCTTTCAACCTCAACCGTTTCTTTCCACCTTCTTGACTTGACCAAAAATCCTGTGCTAGTTTTGTTTTGCCTTGCAGAGAAATCATAAAATTTCTCTACCTTTTTCATAGCTTATGTGTAAATTTGACTCTCATTAGTGGGGTTTAATCCAATATTTTATTGATTTACTTGTTGCTTTCCCTATTATAAATTGAAGGAATCAAATGGGAAACCGGAAAGAAGAAAAATTTACGAGGGAAAAGGTCCCTTTGAGAGGACTTCCTAACCATCTCTGCACATGCATTCTGGACTCCTTGGCTGTCGATAAATGCTTCTGCCGTAACCTCTCACACGGGCTCGTTGACCTTCCTCTATCATTTTTCTAACTCTGTCTGCAAAAGTATTCCACTGTATTGTGCTATTTTCCGACAAAATTGCAGCTAGCCTCCTCTTGTTTGGCCGTAAGGTAGGGGCATGGCCACCACCAAAATATGTTCGGAATCCGGATACCAAGGATGACAGTTGGCTCCCTGAGTCTGTCATGGCAAACACATCAGAAGCTGCACACGCAATAAAGTCCAATGCTGCCAGCTGCATCCCGAGCAAATTTCAACCAAGTCATTCATCATAAACTCAGATGCTGTTGAGACAGGACTCCATGAAGAAATTTTCATGTTTGGGAGAAATTTATTACATCTTTGCTATACTTGATTGATTAATACCGATTTATTTGATTGATTGGTACTGATTTATTTACCTTGGAAGAAAAATTAGCAAAAGGTGCAAGTTCACTGGTTGCGAGTAGTGTTTCCTTCGTGACCAAATTAGGGTAGAGATTGGTGAGAGGATCCATCCGAGATTTTCCTCCATATATGTGAGATCCAGCTAGGTAAATGTAGGTCCTACGCTTGAAACCAAGACCAGCAAGGACAAGGGCTGCTTCTTCTGGTGTTAGTGGACACCTTCCAAGCTTTCTCAACTCTGATGGAGCAACAGGCCTGCAAACAGTAGAAAAGGAAATAGAATAGCAAAGTTTAATAAATCTATTCATAAAACCAACGATTGAGGCATGTAAAATTTAGAATCTAATGCTAATTCTAAGGGCACATACTTTGCATTCTTCAAGCGTTCCAGCAGCAGAGGGAAGTGTCTCTCCCTGTACGCCTGGAGTTCCTCTCTCTCATTTTCTCCGCCTCCAAAATCACATTGGGAATAGGCTACCATGTCTACTTCAAACCTCAAGTGTAAAGCGAGGTATCTGGATTTTCTTTCTGGAGCATCATGCGTGTTAGATGAGCTGTTGGACAAGAAGTTTCCAACCAGCTGTTTGTCCAGCTTACTCTGTGAATAATCATATTTCCTAATCCTTTTCATCAACAATGAAGCAACTTGTTGAATATTTGGCACAAACTTCAAGGCGTGGAAGTTACACTTGCACCTTAGTGTCTGCAACAAATTCAAGAAAGTGTCAGTCTGAAGCAAAGGCATTACAGATAAAAATACCATGACACAGAGATGAATACAGTTGCAGGAAGATCATTTTCTGCTCTATTCTTTTGATGGTTGGATGCCATCTAGAAGATATTTGGTTTGTTCAGCAATTCTTAAATACCTCCTAGAGAACCATCCTTACATGGGCTGCAATGATTGGATATCAACTTATCCTCAAGGTCTTTGCTCCTACAGAGTCCACTTCTCCCATCACAGAGGTACTTTCCGGGCTTACAGTAACATAGCACATTTGAAAGGGGAAAAACAAAAAAGCTCTAATGAAAATATGAAATCCAAGGAAACACAAAATTACTAAAAATCTATTGTTTCATCTCTTAGTAATCACTCCAAGCATGAACGAAGGTGCTACCCTCATGGAAACCTGGCAATTCCTACAATAAATTTGCTTGCTTAAAGTTATTGCATTTGACTAACATGGTCAAGTAGAAAGATGACTATCCTGGAAGATTTTAAAGTCTCTCTTTCCTCTACCACACAAAAACTTTGGGTATGAGGAGATTCCTTTTATACTATGCTCCAGTTTCACGAATAATTATCCTGCAAAAAATCTTTTACCTGAATGTTGTTAGGCAACGGATCAAAGCCAAGACGATTTCCGAATCCAAGGAAGTGAAGAACACCATTCCGTTTTAGAAGAGAGAGTACATTCCTTATGTAATCAATGGGTTTTGCCTCCTTCACAAGGTCTGCATCAGTTAACTGTATCCAGTTTGAAAATTAGAAAATTCTGTATGAGGATATTAAGAGGTGCAGTACATCAGTATGCAAAACGATTCTAAAAAATGTTCGGAAATGATGAAAAAAATATGTTTAGAACAGTAGTGTGCTTCAAGTTACTTAAATTAGGTAAATTCTTATTGGACAAAAAGCAGTTACATGTTTGGATAAAAAATTGATTATAAAAAATAAACAATTATTCTGATTGATAAAAAGATGCTTACTGAGTACTCGGTGCTGTTAAAATAACCAAAAAGAACATATCAGTCTTTCCTTATATTCTAATTATTTAATAATTTTCCAACCTAAATTAATAACAATTGCATATATTTGCAAACATTTTCTTCCTCACATTACATATATTACTAATTTTAAGAACAAAAATTTTAATATCAACTTTTATGTGCGTGTATGATGCTTCTGAAAACAAGGCTGAAAAATTTATCCCAGATAAAAAAGAATTATAAATAGTTTGAATTTCTTGTTTGATAAAGTTCACAACATTGTATTCTGGAATTAAGAGAATAGTTAAGTAAACCTGTTAGATTAAAAGAAGTTAGAACTAAAGTGATCTGTTTAAAGCTTCTTTTGGTAAACACTTTCTTTTGTGTTGCTAAAAGGTTATGTGCTTAAAACTGCTTATAAGTAACAAATAATCCCAAAAACCTTTTTAATTAATCTGAAGCATGGTGGGAATTTGGGGTATCACGTATGACATACCTGACTACCAATTGCTTCAATATCTAATGATTTCAGATGAGCAGGAAGCTCTTTTACAATATCTACGTCATCCTTCAAATAATTCACAAAATACTCCTCTTGGTAGATATCACCAAACTGGCTGCATTTTTTCATTGCAGAAAATTAAAAGAGATTTATATAGGTGCATGTATATATATATATATATATATATATATATATATAGAGAGAGAGAGAGAGAGAGAGAGAGAGAGAGAGAGAGAGAGGAGGGAGAGAGAGAGCGGGGAGAGGATTTTGCAGATCCATAATAATTCAGTAAATATGGGCTTTTTAGATAGGAGAAGGTGGATAGACATATTAGAAAAAAGAAAAAACGGGGAAGTAATAGAACTACAAGATGACAAACAATTGGTGCTATATTCAGCAAACATAAAATCAGAAATCTCAGAAGATATCAATGATCATGATTTAACCCCTCTGTTTTAGACAAACAAGCAACTATTATTTGGTTTGCAAACCCCTTTCTTTTCAAGCTACATTGCATTTAAATGGTAGTTAATACACAGAAGAGTAAATAATTGTCCCTTCTCTTTGATTTCTTACATTACAAAAACATTATAATCTCTGGAAAAATAAACAATTTTTTGGAAATTAATTTGAAAATCTCTATGTACATCAACTACGATAAAGTTAAAACTGAAGTCCAAAATGATGAAAATTCAACTCCAGTGAATATTTCAAAGATTGATTCTCTTGGAATTGAATTTCTATCCTCTCACCATAGAACCAAGTATGGATATCAAAATGAAATCCACAAAAACAGTTCATTTTTTCAGCCCAAGGTCCCATGGTTCAATATTCATTCCATTCCAAATCAATTTCTAGTTCTCCTTTTCATATTCAACTCCATCTTGAATTCCTTTGAAGTAGAGATAACTCAGTGATAAGAAATTATGTCGTAATTATCCATATCAAGACTAACAAAAAAAATTTAGAACTACAAATTAGTTAGGAAATGAATAAGAACTGAGCTAAACATGCCACAGCTTTCATAATCAATTGATAAAAGTTGGTCGTAACTTGAAAAGCTTAAGACGTCAAAACAGGACATAAGATGGATTGATAAACTGCCTAGCATCCTGAACTGAGTGACATGTGGAATTGCATTTAACCTTTCAACTGAACAAGTATGCAGTACTATTTAATTTCCTAGAGTTCATGTTGGTTATAAGTATCAAACTAGCAGGCCAAAATAAGTTGACTGGTGTTAATGAATAACTATGACAATTTTGCATTTTCTTTGAAAAAATTGCAAACCTTTAAGTATAGGAGAAGGATGCACAAAGCAAGAGATATGCGTTGAAGGAAGTCAGGTTCTAAACAGGAAAAAAGCTGACAGAATGATTTTCTGTGCTTGATAAATTAAAGCAACTAATACAGTATTATCCACAGAATGCAGGCGGAAATGAAACATTTTTCAGGAAGGAACAAAAATAATTGAGAAGCAAACGAAAGAAGAAATGAATTTCAGAATATAATTTCTGATGTGATCTCAGACCTAGGATCCTTCCATACATTGCTGTAAAGAAATCTTGGAAGAACTAGAGTTGCGTTAAGTAAGGATGCCACAGCAACAGCATTACAAACCTGCAGGCAAACACATCTGACTTAAGAATTTAGTCGCAACCAAAATAGCAATGAAATAGGAAAGTAGGCCAAGATGCTCATCTGAAAAGATCAAACAACTACACTACTTTAAAATTTTTTTAAAAAAACAATCAAATGGGATAATGCCTGCTTCAGAACCATAAGTTCCAATAATCGTGAAGGTATCCAGATCAAGTTACAATAAATTTTTTAAAAATGGCCACCTGGATTGATGAGATGCTTGAAATCAGACTACTACAATGTATATGGGGATCAATGTTGAGCTCAGTTACCAAGAAAAAAGAAGAGAATGTAGTTTTTGCAAGAATCATCACCTGCACGCTAAAAGTTACGTGGAAAGCTCACTAAAAGATCTTGATACTTACAGCAACACGTTGTTGATTGAGACCACCGTTAGCACTGACCATTATATAACCATTACTTTTGTCAGGCTTCCCTGTCTCAGCAGCAAAAGTGAAAGAATTAAATTTCTCAGCAATCCTTCAGTTTGTTCAGAAAATACCATGATGCTCCCTTCATTCATTTGATAGTACCAGAAATTGTAGTAAAGAAAATACCAATTACCTACACTTCTGGTTTTCCTGTCGGCACAAGGTTTCCACAAAGATGTATTTGAATACGGTTCCTCCCAAAAACTTGATTTCTTGTGTTTCAACTCATTCTGAAGCATAGTGTAAGTGTTACAATTTTAAAGAGGAGATAGAATTGTCTAATAGTACATGCTTTAGCTAAACATGCACGTAGAATTTAAAACTTGATAAAGCAAACCTCTGCAAGTGAATTGGAAGCCAAACTGAGAAGCCGGCCATACATTTGTACTGGCAGCTTTTCCTTGCTGCTAATGTAGGAAACTCCATCCTTCAGCATGCATCCAATGAGATACGAAAATAATTTAAGCATCGATAATGCATTAGAGTGTTATATTTATACTTTGCAACTTTTTAATTCCTTGGCAGAATAAAGCTTCAGTGACCCACTTAAACGGCTGATCAAAATTGAAAGTGAAAACGTAAAGCAAGGTGCCCGTGGAGGCTCATACACATGTCCAAGTCTTTCATATTCAAGATATATCTTAACCTTTCCTAACAACGAAGAAGAAATATTGTGCATATAACGACACTGATACAAAACAACAATAGTAGTTGCTAGAGACTTTAGGACAAGAAGAAAAAATAATGATAATGCATGAATCGAAGCATCCCCCACTCAGTGAATAAGTTAGCTGGTTTGCAGATCATTTGGTTAGTACCCATTAAATGGAGAGAGCTGCTCTCACATAGTCTTTTGTGAACCACATAATTGCTTTAATTAAATAGTTGCAATAGAGCTCTAAGCAGCTTCCAAAGCAGTATTGTTCAATTCATTCATTGACTCACAACATAATCATATACCTATCCTAACAGTGAGAGAAACTCAGAAATGGAATTCAAATTCTCTTTAATACAAGTCTCAAATTCATACCTTGGCCCAAATTGAGCTATTTAAACTTGAATTACTCTGAAGATTCACCAAATCAAACATTGACATCATAAGAGAATCAAGCAAGAAAATGAAACATATGACCGAAAGCATAACAGCAATTGCCCTCAAATTCTTTTGAAGCCATGTATGCCTTTTCTCAACATGAACTCCCTTGTAAGAACTGAATTTCCCATGATCATTTTTCAACCCTTGAAGCAATACAGCTTTGGAATTCCACTTATGATCACCTCCTGAAATTCGCCTCCCAATAAAAGGATCACTGCTCGATAAAGTATCCAAACATCTAATTTGACAATCCTTCTTCCAAAATGATAAGTCCTCGTCCTGAGAAATGGTATGTGGACATCTTTGGGGCCCTTGTTTCCCCATTATAGCATTCTCTCCTCCCAAATAAGCTTCATATGGCACACTCTTGACAAACAACACTAACACTATCCCTATCCCTCATTTCGACATCAATAACAAATTTTGAGCAATTGTTGCCATAAAGATGGAAATAATTCAGTAAAGGACAACTTAGAGGAGATCAACAAAGCCTGCATTAGCCTAAATTCATCATTTTTCAGGCGACAATTAGTAGGAACACTAGAAGCCGTTTCTCTTTCTCTTTCTCTGTCGCGTTGTGTAAATATAACGTATATCCATCTATCTAACAGATACTCACCCACCAACAAATTTGATTAGATGAGGCAAATTCAAGTTTGATAATGTGATATTAAAAGTAAAATAACAAAATTAAAACAATAAACATCTAGTAGTATATGAATTCAGAGTGAAGATAAGGAGTAGGTCACAGTGGTATTCATTTTTTTTTTTCTTTTTCACATGAGAGGAGTGAAATGCAAGGCATATTTGAAAGTAAACAAGAACTTTCACGAACTAACCTTGGAAAACAAGAATAATGGCAACGATGACTCCTGCAACAGCTACTGGCTACCAAACACAACAAAAACACTCTTCGTTTTCTGCTACGCATTTCCCTTGTTGCTCAATCCAAGCCTTTTGAAAACAGAAAGGAGGAGCAGGAAAAGGGTACGTAAAAAAAAAAATATCGGCATGCGCAAGGTTGTTGGTTGAAATTGAGATATGGCGGTTCCTGATATGGACCGGTTGATCGCTTGCCTTTCTCGTCTTAACTTCCCCAAAGTCCCTTGTCGTGATGGAGAAGAAGAAATTGTATAGAGTGTATCAGAATCCATCAGCCATGACATGTCCTAGTTTTTGAGGGTTGTGATGAGTATTGTTCTTGTGGAGAAATTAATAAATGCAGAGAATTTAATGGGTGTTTTCATTTATTCTTATTTACACTCTTGTTTTTGCTTAATTTAAGAACAAATGTTAGGTGACATTTTAAAGAAGTTTACCCAACTAAAAATAATCATATATCTGATAAATCAACTAATGATGTTAGTAGCTATTTAATGAACATGAAATGTATTTGCTTTCTTGAATTATTAATTTTCTAATTAGATAGTTATCTGATCTGCACTAAATGTTTTTAATCTCTGTTTTTCTTTGTTCTTTCAATTTTGTTAAAGCTTCTTAAATTTTTCTTGCATTTTTTTTTTAATTTTCATTATTTAACAAAAAATATATATATATAAAGTATATATAATATGACATTATATATATATATATTACGAATTTCAGCGCATAAGGAATAAACTTTGAGGTCCATTTCTGTACTTGTCTTTATTTCCTTTCCTCTTTTTTTTTTTTGTTCTTTTATAACATCTGCATTTCATTAGTTTGGCCTCTGCTCCAAATCATTTTAACAGCCCTTGGTAGCCATGAAAGGAAACTAAAACGAGTATAGAAGAGAACATGCCATGGGATCTTCAGTTTTTCAGAATCTCTTGACAGCCTGTTTTCACTTTCCTTTTTCATTTTATTGTCAATCAATCATATGGGAAATTAACCACAACTTTGACTTGATTCTCTTCCCTTTTGCTATTTATACATATATATATACACACACGCACATACACACACACACACGCACATACAACGATACAAATACCAAGTTGGAAAAGATATTAACCATTCAATGTCGACATTGTAATCTCCCTACCTGCTTTTATTACAATCTTCCATTGTGATTTTATTCCTATCCAAATTGTGCATGTACATGATGAACGTTATGATAGTACAACAAACAAATAAAAGTGTAGTACGTCTAATTTTTGTTTTTCAGAATTTTTTTTTTTGAAAAATATCATTGAAAATACTTAGAGATAGCAAATCTATTCCAACTAAATTGAAACTTATATATATATATATATTATATGATTGGTTTGGGGTTAAGAAAAATACTTTGTTCTTTTAAAATTGAATCCACACAAGTCAGAAAATGTTGTGATAGGTTGATTCAGGTTTACAAAGTGATAATAATCTTATTTATCGTACTTAATAATATTTTGACAAGTATCTTGAGATTGAAAGGTGATATATTTATATTCAGAAAAAAATTAAAAACTATATTAAATGATATACAAACATAAGAGTTTTTAAGTCCAACTTTTATATTATAAGATATATAATTTTGATTTTTTTTTTCATTTTTATGCATATGAAGTGATTTAAGTAATACAAGAAATGCACATGCTTGATTATTATAAAGAGAAAAATTAAAAGGGTTGAGGAGGGAATATATAGAATTTGTCCCTGTGGTATATGCTTGATTTTTGGAAAGTATAAATATCAAGTGTGGTTTTTGGCCAATACCCAGATGAGTTCAAAGAGGCAATGCGGGTGAAGATTACAGGGCAACATCTTCTTAGGCAGGTTGGTGTTCAAGACACTGATATACCATTAGATTTGTTTCTCAGTGTGTTCCCTGCCAAAGGAGATTTGCCCAGTAATTCTTCTGCATTTTTTGTTTCAGATATATGAATGTCTTTTTAACTGTCATATTATCTCTTCCTTAAAAGTGGTGTGTATATTATCTTTTATATAACTTATATATATATATATATATATATATATATATGATAAGTTATTGATATCATTAAACTTAGTTATATAGTTTATTCATTCAGCTATTATTTAAAATTTTTCAACCATTTCTTATTTTTTTCTTCTTTGTTACACATCGTTGTAGTATCTAATAAAATATCATAAATTCTATAGAATTTTCTTTTTATTTATAAAAAATTTTGTTTTTTGGTCCAGCTTCTTTCAAGCATCTAAATATTATCTTTTATATATATTTTATAATTTTATACTCGATTGATAGTTATTCGGATAATAATAATTATTATTTTTTGAAATGTTGATAATCATTACAGAATGTGAATTATTATAAAAAAAGTTTAAAGCATTACCAATGGTATTAGAATATGCGTTAGTAATGTGATTACAATTTTAGGTCTTATTGACATTTATGTCGTGATTTATTATGATAATTTATAATATTGACAAGAATATTTGAATAGTAGAGATTATATAAATTTTTTATTTTTATATAATGACTCAAAGTCACTCAGTTACAGATAATCCGTACTTAAATTTTATTGCTCCAATAACTTTTTTCTTCAAAAAAGAAAAAAAAAATTAGTTTTGTGTTGATTTTGCGTTTTTATCCAAAATTGTAGTTGAAAAGTCATTGCCATTTTTATTATGTGGTTTTCTGTTTAGGTGCTTCCCTTTTGTATTTGTATGCATCAGCCCATTTCTATATATAATAACTCTTTGTCTTGCTTCAAATTTAGGCTGAGCAGTCTAATTTTTAATTGTATTATTTCTAATCTATGACTTATTCATTTCTATACTTTTAGTATGTTTAATCCATTTTTAGGTATATTTCAAAATTCTAAGTTTTGTTGTCTTGTATCCCCATTTATAATTGTCTTTATTTTAGTAGATGGTTACTTCATTTTCATCAATGATGAACATTCTAAAGAATATGTCCTACTTTTTGTACAATTATTTTGATTCTTTTTAAGTGTTTTGAGATTGAAAATTGATTTATTTATATTCAAAATTAAAACAAATAACACGCAAGTGCGATAATACCTGTATTATTAAAAATATATGTATAATATTTAAAAATGCATTCTTGTAGAACATCGTAGATAGATTAAAAATGCAATCTAATTAGTCACGTAATAAAAACAAAAATTCAAAATAAACACTAATGCGAATTATCATTATATGAAATCACAGGCTCTCTTAAAACAAGGAAAGCATTTAGCATTGTCTAGAGTATGGAAAGGTAACTTAAACATATTCTGCGCCTGAAAACTGTTCCCTCGGAGATATTAGAACCTCAGAAGTTCTAAAATTGCATGCTACAACAGAAACACAGTCATAATAAAACCCTACTAAATTCAAAAGCAAAAAAGCATTTTCAATTCCTCGGATTGAATGAAACAAATACATACCACGTATTAGTCGTGAAGAGTTCCTAAAATATCTTCATCCCTGTAAAGATGATACCTGAAATAATATACACAGGAATACACATCAATAAGCATAGAAAGTGGATTAATTTTAGATACCCACAAAATAATCCTCCTCTTTCCTAGTCTTCTCAGCTAATGTGCAGTGAAATTCAGCTTTGTATATAAAGTAGATTAATCTTAGACACCCGTGAAACAAAGCATATGAATATTGCTAACATAGCTAAGGAGAAGCAACAAACAAGACAGCACATGATTAATAATATCTTTCCAACAAATGCATGTGATTATAAATAACAACATAACAACTTACATAAAACAAGTATGTATGCTTCCTTTGTAGGTTATTCTTTTCATTTGAAAGAGGTTTTTGCTGTCTATGTTAGAGTATGGTAGAGCAGTTTGGATTATATTGCCAAGAACAATCGTTAAAGAGAAAAACAAAAGCTGCTCCAACCATAGATTATCCATTCATAGTTATTATACTGAAGTGCAGCCCATTTAACAAGGAACAAGTGACAAGCTTGGAAGAGACAAGAATAAACCAAAACCTTCATAGCACCCCTTCTGCCCCAATCTTTCATAGGAAAAGCCAAGCAGGCAAAAGAAAGCCTTAAAAATGATAAAGATTGCCTCAATAGACACTAGCAAAGCATGCAAAAGATGGTTTGAAAAATGATGAAAACCACTTTTGGAAAATCCACATGATAAACCAAAAATGGGAGCATTATTCCCTTTCTGCCTTCTAACAGAATTTATCAAGAAGTACTAAATTAGAATTCATCCAAAAGCAAACCAAATATCCACACTACGAGTTGAAATAGAGGGAAAGAAAAAAGAATTTCTATAACATATCTGACAACTGATACTCAAATCTGGAGGAACAATCCCCTAAGAAGTCTGTGCTAAGCCAACACAAGTTCCAGAAGAAGACATTAAAGATATCATACACCTTAGAACATCCAAAATCAAATCTATATACCTAAGAAATCACTGTACAATTTTTTTTTTTTAAAAAGCAAAAATTTGTAGATAAAGCCTGTTGAGTAGTTAAAGCAGGCTGCACGGTGCTCATAAAACTGAAAGATTTGCCACCAATATGCCATGGCTCTCAGGGGTTACGGAAGGCTGCTAAAAATATTAACATCGACAGAAGGTGATCATTGTGTTAATAGAATAGGTAGTCAGTCTTCTATCTGGGTTCTTGTGGAAAATAAAAAATACAATAAAATTTTGATATCATCTTGTAATTAACAGAAGACATAGTGCTGCAGAGAAATGCGAAGGAACTATTCCCTAGACAAACAAAACATGGGACATTTTATAGGACAAGGAAGCACCAATCAGAAAGAAAAGCATCAGTCATAAAAATTTAACAGAGTATGTTATTGCTATGTTAAACTTGAATCAAACTGCACTGCCATTTCAAACAAGGCAGTAGGACTTACTCCTTCTCACCAAGCTTCACTTGAGTGCCCCCAAACTCTGGTAAAAGAACAGTGTCTCCTTCCTTCACAGTCACAGGAATAAGCTTCCCATCTCTATCATGACTCCCAGGGCCCACAGCTACTACTTTTGCCGAGTTCAGCTGATTCATGAAGCATTCATGACAAGACAATTAAGGCCAATAACAACAAAAATGGAACTCCATGCAGCCAGAAATTACAAATAATGTAAATAAAGCTCCGGGCTTATAATGAAATTCATCAACCCTCCAATTCAAGAGAAATTCCAAAAAGATTTAAGAGCGTAGAGAGTACAACAAACCCATGGATGAATAACCTACTCATAGGTCCAAGGAATCTAATAAAATTTCAAGTATGGTCTTCAATATAGTAACCTGTCAATTTAGTTAATTATTCAGATTCAGAAAAGCTCAAACAGCTCAACCAGTCTTCCTCACATAAATGCATCGTGCATCTATTTCTTGCACGATGGCTAAAAGCTTATATATCTGATTTATGTTTCTAATTTCGATATTTTTAGAGGAAGCATTGATGGAAGAAATCTCAACAGCAAAGAAATGACAGATAACCACACACAAAAATCAATTTTTATATACAAAAATTACTAGAACTTGTAAAACAAATCCATCATCTAAAGGAAATGGCAACACTATCCTACCCAGAATGGAACATACGCATGTATGCACATATATGTATGTACATGTAGGTAAATGTATACACATGTGTATATATATATAGGTGCAGAACCATTTTAAGACATTTGCAGACTTGTTACCGAGTAAATACAAATTAGAAATGACCAGAAACAAGAAGAAATATGAGTTCTGACATTACTTAACAAAATCAAAATCATGCCAAAAACCAGAAATATGATTACTCGCTGTGGATGATATAAATATTTCATCGAGAGCTACCAGAAAGAAGACAACCCAAAAAGACTACATTCAGTTCCATTGATAATCATGCATGGGATTAAGCAGACAAGAACCAATCTGCAACTGATTACATGAACTAAACTGTTCTAACAGGCGCACAATGAATAATATCGAATAAAAAAATTGAAAACGAAAAAAAGAAATAAACTTTACAGAAAAAGTACTCAATAAAACAGCCATTTTTACAAGTAAGCAACAAATACACAATTTGGAAGGTTGAATGCTCAAGAACTAAAAGTTATCATAGAATTAGCTAGAGGAACAGAAAAAAGAAAAGAAAAAAACCTGCGGGGTTTTCTCGGGAAGTAAAATTCCAGAGTTTGTTTTAGAAGGAGGGAGGATTTTCTGAACCAAAACGCGATTGAAGGACGGAATCAAACGCTTCGCCATTTCAAAAACAATCCGCAGAAAGATACTGAGAGCTCAATCAGAGTGCTGGAACGTTCTGCTCTTCTGTTGAGACTAGCCCAGGAGACTAGGGTTTAAATAAGATTTATGTCCGTTCAGAATTACAATAAAACCCACGCTTATGTTTTTAGGAAAATTTAAGGGTACGCTTGGATGAGAAGAAATAGAAGTCCAGGGATAAGGGACAATGATTTCCCCTCGTTCCCGAACTTTTTAATTGGAAGAAACTCTAAGGCTACTACAGAAAAATCTAAAGGTATCTTTAGGCATCTTGGCTTCGGGATTATTGTGGAGCCAATTTTACTGAGAAGTTGTCAATTAATTTTTTTGTTCACATCAATTTTACTGAGCAGTTGTCAGTTAACTTCTTCATTCACAATAATTTTACTGGCTAAAAAATCAATACATCTACAAAGGAATATGAGACAACCCTTTGATTTTGATTTTAGCTTTACTTTAAACTTTAGAATTGTCTTAGATTACCACAAAGAGGTAATATAATATATTATGCGCCAAAAACTGTTCTCTCCAGTACCAGAACCTCGAAATTTCTAAAATCGCATGATACAACATAAGTAGTCATGATAACATCCCACTACATTCAAAAGCAATCGCCATTTTGAATTCCTTGATTGAATGGAAGTAACACCATGCACTAGTCATGAAGGGTTCCTAGAATATCTTCATCCCTGTAAAGATGGTACCTGAAAGAGTATACAAAAGAAAGCAAATCAATAAGTATTCATTTAATGGTTTAAAGTAACTAGCATCCGCCGAATGAGCAGATAATCCTTTCCTTCTGTAATCTTTTCAGCTAATGTGCAGTGAAATTCAGCTTTGTATACACAGTGGATTAATTTCACATTCCCACAAAATAAAACATATGAACTTTTTACCAAAATCATGTAGTTTTCAACAAATGCATGTTACTATAAATAACAGCACCAGCAAAAAGTTCAAGAAACTTGCAAGCGGATAGCTGACTGTTGAAACACTTCATTCTAATTTATAAAGAAAAACAGAAACAATATTCCAAGGCATTTACAAACTACATTAACCATCAAAGCTGATTATGAAACTTGTAAAAACAAAATGGAAACATATACTACACCTGGAAAGCTGCCTAATTCTAATCTCCTCCCTCACCCCTTGTGTTGTTTTTGCATCGTGTTTAAAACACAGGCATATAACAACTTATATACACAGGCAAAGAAACAAATATGCTCATAGATGTACATTTCATTTATAGCTTCTTATTTTCAATTAAAAAGATCTTTGTTTTCTAACTTAAAACAATAGTAAACCAGTTTGGATTGTACAAAAACATGCCAATAACAAACTGGTGATTTCAACACATTTCACAATCATTGAAGAAAATATAAAGCTGATCCAGCCATAGGGATTTTGATAAATGAAGAAGATTGTCCAGCCATAGACTATTTCTCCATAATTGAAGACTGAAGTACAGCCCATCCTGAAAGAAGCAACTGACAGAAGTTTGGAAGAGACGAGAATGAAGCAAAACTTTTATGGTAACTCTTAGTGGGCACAATCTTTTACAGAACAGGCCAAGAATGTAAAGAAAGGCTTGCAAAAGATGAAAATCATTCTTGGGTGTCATTAGCAAAGCATGCAAAAGATGGGTTGACAAATGATGAAAATCATTTTTAGAAAATCCAAATGATAAACTGGAAAGTGGCATTCTTCACTTTGTGACTCGTAAAAAAATTTATCTAAACAACATTCAAATTAGAATTCATCATCAGAAAAGCAAATACCAGTAATTTTGTCTAGTTCATGAGTTGGTGCCAGACCAAAATGGAGATAAGCAATTACTAAAAGTGCTTTTTTAGAGAGAAAAGAAAAGATAAATGTAAATGACTTATCCATGGGATGATCTCTAAACCTGGAGGAACAATCCCTTGCGAAGTCTTTGCTAAGCCAATGCAAGTTCCAGTATAAGATATTAAAAATAGTATATGCCCATGCACACCTTAAAAAAAATTATATATGTAAGCAATCACTACAAAAAAATGTTAATAAGAAACAGCGAAGTTATGTAGTTCTTTTGAATGCTTAAACAGCTAGTACGTTGCTTATAAAAGTGAAAGACCTGCCACCAAAATGCCTAGATGAGACAATTTGGTGGTTAGGAAAATCTTTAAAAAAAGTAGTAAGACCAACAGAAGGCAATTCTTGTTTTAATAGAATAAGACGTGATCTTGTATCTGGGCTTTTGTGCAAAACAAAAAATATGATAACTTAGTTTGATATCATTAAGTAATTAAAAGAAGACATGGTGTTGCAGAGAAATGTGAAGGAATTGTTCTCTAGACAAACTGAAAACAGGATACAGGACAATGAAACACCAGTCATAGCAAGGAAAATATGAGTCATAAAAATCTAACAAAAAGCAACTCTAAACTCGAATCAAACTACACATTCATTTCAAACAAGGCAGTAGAACTTACTCCTTCTCACCAAGCTTCACTTGAGTGCCCCCAAACTCTGGTAAAAGAACAGTGTCTCCTTCCTTTATAGTCACAGGAATAAGCTTTCCATCTCTATCACGACTTCCAGGGCCCACAGCTACAACTTTTGCAGAGTTTAGCTGATTCACGAAGCATTCATGATGAGACAATCAAGACCCATAACAATTAAAATGAAACTTAGCGCAGCCAGAAATAATGAATAATGTAAATAAAGCTCTGGGCTTAAAAAGAAATTCATCAACACTCCAATTGAGGAGCAATTTTTAAAAAGCTTGAAGAGTATAGAGACGATAGTGAACTTATGACACCTAGGAAACCAACAAAATTCTATTAGATGCTTGAAAATAGTGGACTGCCAATCAGGTTAATTAAACCCTAAAAAGATTAAAAAGTCCAACCACTCTTCTTCACATAGATGTATCATGTATCTATTGCTTGCAGAACACCGTGAGGAAAAGCTCATAAATTTTAATTTATTTTTCTAATTTCCATATATCTAAAGGCAAGGGCATCATGGAAGAAATCCCAACAGCAAAGAAATGATGGATAAGCACAAAAAAAAAATTATATACAATGAAATTACCAGAACTGGTGAAAGTAATCGATCATCTAATAGAAAAAGCTCAGCTACCCTACCCAGAATGACATACACAGTTGTATAGTCATGTCTGTATATACATACACAGGTGCAAGATCGTTTAAAGAGATTCGTAGAATGGTTAGTTACTACTCATTATAAATAACAAGAAGAAATAATATGAACTATACAGTTCTAACAGGCCAAAAGAGAACAATGCAGAAACCACAAAAAAAAACTTCTGACTCAGAAAAAAAAAAACAATATACACAGAAAGGAATATTCGAGAAAACAACCAATTCCAGAATAAGCAACAAAATATAAAATTTGGAAAAAGAATACTCGAGAACCAGAGGTTATACATTTATGCTAGAGAAAGAAGAAAAGAAAAGTAAAAAAAAAACCTGGGGGGCTTTCTCAGGAAGTAAAATTCCAGATTGCGTTTTGGAAGGAAGAACGATTTTCTCAACCAAAATGCGATTGAAGGATGGAATCAAACGCTTCGCCATTTCTGAATACAATCACACACAAACTGAGAGCTCAATCAGAGTGCTAGAAAGTTCTACTCTTCTGTTTGGACTAGCCAAGGAAAGTAGGGTTTAAGTCGGATTTATGGCCTTACGAAATTACAATAACACACACGTTTATTTCCAGCCCAAAGCCCAATTAGACCCGGTCCAATTTCGGCCTAGTCCTCAGAAACGGACCGTTTTGAAGCTTGTTCCAGGAAGAAGACAAAGGCCCGAGACGGAGCAACACAGAAGGAACGAGAGGAGAGTCGAGACTGAAATCACCAGTTTTCTGTTCCTTTCAGATTGAAGCAGCTTCCAAATATTCCACCATTGACACACTGAAGCAGCAGTTTCGTTTATTCTTCCGAGCATAAGGTTTTTCTTTTATTTGTTTAGAGTGCTTTTGAAGATGTCCTGTAGAAAATTAGGTGAATGCTTTTAATTAGCGCAAGAAAACCTGACCTGTAAATTTACGTTTGATTGGGGGAGTGGGAGGAGATAGTCTGCACTGTTTGGTTTCAAAATTTCACCAGAAGAAGACCCTTCATGAGAAAAACTTTGGAAAACATTTCATCTAAAAGGACTCTGTAAAAGCAGAAGCTTTCAGTGGGTTCATATTTCAAATTTTTAATTTGCATATGAAGGGACACACATAAAAGTGTACTTCCATAGTATCTATTTGTATCAAATACCACTTTATGTTTTCAATTTAATCAATCAGCCTGATCTGTTAACTTGTAATGATAAAGTTTTGAATTTCTGAAACATATTTTCTTGTCAATAGCCCTATATTTTTATGTCGATATTACAAAGACAGAGATCACATGCATATATGTATTCTGTATGCACACTTGCACAAGTATTATTGCAAAAACACAGTTAAGTAAGTAAAATTTGCTTTTATTCATCAAGTCTAGCAGAGATGCTGATGGTTTGTCTTATATTGGATATTAAAGCTGATTATTTTTCAGGAATAGCTATATATGGAATTGGTTTTCCTAGATTGCTTTCAGGAGATGGCCATTCTAAAAATGCCTATTAATTTGTTGACATTTGATTCCCTTCTTAACTATAAACAGACGAGAATGCTCTTAATTACTTGGAAATATTCTTGTTATCCATTCAATCTTCAAAATTTTCCTTCCTAGATCATGGAACTTTCAGATTTTGCTGTAGGGGGTGGGAGGCATTGGATAGACATCTGTACTGCAGTCTCAGTATTTGGCTTTGTAGAAAAAGGATGAATTTCTAATGGGAGAAACCCTGTTTCTAGCTCAGGCATGTGTTATATGACAGAAATGCTAGACATAACTTGAAGCTGCTTTTAAGAAATTCATTTTGACATTAGATGCTCTTGCATTCATTTCATTGCTTCATACTATTATTTTATTGATGGTTAACATTTGTCTGACATTTATCTTCCCTTTAAAATGCTTACAGGGTTGTTATCTTGTATATATTCTGACTGAGATGTCTTCATCTACGTCAATGGTTTTCACTCTGACATGTGATGCAACCTGTTCTTAGCTTTGGTTCTTCGATACCTTGGTTTAAGGGCCATTCCTATCAATGGTCATATGAGCCAGGTATGTACTGAATGCATATGCATGAAGTTGTTCAACAGAGTTGAAGCTTGTTTCCCCCTGGTCCCTAACCCCATTTCTTTCTGCCGCATTGATCTTGGTCATCCCAAATCTATCAATAGAATTTTCTCTGTCTAAAAGACTTGGAGCCTTAAACAAGTTCAAAGCTGGGGAATGTAACATTCTCGTATGCAACAATGTGGCAAGTAGAGGGCTAGATATTCCATCTGTGAATATGGTTGTCAATTATGATATCCCCTCAAATTCAAAGATAGCTCACTTGATTATGCTGGATTGATTATGCTGTGTATTTATAACATTTACTTCCGAATTTCATCATTATAGAGGAATTTGTTCTACCCATGTCAAGTATGTGATTATTTTGTGAACTTGTTAGTTTCGTAACTGGTAACTGCGAAATCATGCTTCCTGGCCTTGCAACTGTAGTTCCACGGTTGACAAACCGGGGAAGATCTCATTAGCTTCTGACTTACATTTCCTTTTAGCTTTTTACCAGGTTCAAGTAACGTAACAGGATTACATCCGTTGAGTGGGAAGAACTGCACGTGCTGGATGATCTGCGGCCATCTCACTTGTAAATCAGTACGAATCGGCGTAGTACTTGCAGATAGAAAAGCTTATCAATAAGCTATACGTGCAGCATTGTTGCAGGGAACCATTCTAAATGAGTGTCCCAGCACTAAACTTTTGGTTGTATTTGAGGCAAGAAGCTGGCTGAGTTCCCTGCTCAGGAGGAGGAGGAAGTGTTGCTATTACTGGAGGGAGTTACAGAAGCCAAAAGCTCGTCGCAAATGGTATTACTTTTATCTTTGGTTTTCTTGTTAGAAGATTGTTGCAAAAGATTGACTGTGTTATTAGAAGTACAAATTATGGCTAAGCATTTTCTTAGGGTTAGATCCAATAGCAATTTTTGGGTATGGCTAAAATTTCCCTCCCCTATCACTGCCCGAGTTTTTGTAATGTTAGTTTAGACAAATTTTTATGATAGTTGGCGATAATTTTTCAAGTTTATTCTTTTCTGTCATGTTCTAATGCATTATACTTCAGAATACAAGTTTAATAGGACATGTATATATATATATATATATAATTATATTACGGACTTTCAAAACCCATAGATATATTGATGTCCTTCTACTTTCCTCTTCTATAACCTCTTCATTTATAATTGATTTTCATTCTTAATTGATGGTCTCATTTGTCTACTTTTCATATTTATTCAATTGAGTTTTTCTAGTAGCAATTTTTGTGATCAAGAAATAATTTACTCTTCTTCCTAATAAGATTTTAGTCTATAAATATGGATGTCCATATTTTTTTTATAATGTGTTTTAATATTTAACTAACAGTCATGTAAATCTATAAATAATTCTTGTAAGAAATTTTAAGGTGATATAGAGAGTAAAATGAAGATAGAATAATATTAACAAAACATGTGAAACAATTAATAAATAATAATTTGACTGCTTTAAATATATAAAAGTAAGCAAGAAGCACGTATAAAGTTTGATCTCTCATAACACTTTGTAACCATAAAATAAGTGTTCAAGATCCAATTTCTAGGGTTCTATTTTCAAAATGATCTTCAACACTTATTTCATCCTCTTTAACTCCTTTCAACTATTAGGGTTTAGAGATGAGTTTTTCAATGAGATAAAAATTTTGACACTTATTATAATTTAATTTTTAATTTTTTTAAAAAATTCTATTTTGATCCTTATACATTTTCTATTTATTTTATGTTAATAAATGAATAACAAGAAAAAATTGACCTAATGTTATTATTCCTTAACTAATTAATTTAATTAATTAATTAAAATTATTATTTTAAATCATTTTTAAAGTATCCAAATACGAATTAATTATTTTTATTTTTTTGTTAAAAAATAGAAAAAAAAAATAAATATTTGAACCAAAAAGAAAATATTAGGGAGCAAACTGTAACAATAAAGACGTTACGAATCAAATTATAAAATATTTCAAATTTTGGAGACTAATATGATAATTTACCTTAAAAAGAGTTATAATTTTACGAATATATTGTATAATAACGCACGACGAGTAATAAAAAGAAGTACCAAGATTAAATAGTGAACATTATTTAATTATTATTTTTTATTAAATTTTTAATATATGACAATGAAAAATGATTCAACTTAATATTATTATTTTTATTTAAAAAAACATATCTAATCGAGAGATCTTTTTAATTGCTAGTCATTTTCACATCAATGTTAAAAAATTAATTGAAAAGGATCCAAAACACTTGACTATTAGCCTACATATATTTTCACACTTCATATAACAACAACACTTATATATACATATATATATATGTATATATTAATGGTAGAACTCGATAATTTTAAATTACTACATTGTTGACTAGGTCTAGGTCAGCTATCAAATGGGGAAGAAAAAGAATAAGCATGATTCAATAATCTGTATATGCATATAATATTTGAATAAGTATTCATCCATATATATAATTGATTTGATCCATTTAGTTTGTGCAAATATTCCTCTAAATCAATCAGTATTCATCTTAGCAAAAACATTAACAAATGAAATTCAAAAGGATCCATAACACTTTACAAAATTAGCCTATAGTATACACTTTCAAACGTATTAGTAATTGTAAAATTTATAATATATACATATATATATAGTGATTGTAGGACTTAATATATACATATACTATCTACATAATATGAAAAAAAAACAATAAAAAAAAAGTTCAAAGTCTAACTTGGTAAAAATGGAGTTTTGATGATGCGTGAAGCAATGTGATGAAGATATGGTATTATAGTATATAGTATTTATATCTGTATTTGTGTGTGTGTGTATATATATATATATATTCAACTACTAAGCCTATTTTTTTACGTAGAGAAGAATTATGACTTCTTTTATTGCCTATTTTTATATTAATTGCTGCTTCAATCTCTGACTTCCCTACACCTACGGCATCTTTCATGCGTCGTTCATTTATTTTATGTTCTAATTATTTACCAAATTTTACATTTATTTTATTTTTTTAAGAACCAGAGAAACTTCCTCATGCTTTCTTATTTCCATATTGATAATTTTTAATATTATATATATAGTTAATACCTAAGAGCAACCCAACATATACTTCCCCCACAAAACATAGAAATATATTTATATATATATATTAACTACAAATTAAATTAATTATGTTGTAAGATATATATTATCACCATGGAATACATCATACATTATAATATCCTGTTTTGTACAACTCATAATTCGTAACTCCAAACATCCAATGGAATGTAGTTCACATGTGCTCTCATGCATGTAAATATGCTCTGTGTATATATATGTATAGCTATATATATAACAGTCTTTACGATGCATATCTAATCCTAATCGAATATAGACTTCAAATAGATGCCTAGCTTAATAACTTCATATATATTGCATATTGTCAAGTTTTTCTATTTTCGTTGAGTTCTCTAATTTTCAAATGTTTATTTAAAATAAGTAAAATATACACATATTTGTTGTGTACTCTTTAGGTTTACTACACAAAAATATGTCATATATATAACAACTTTTATATGCATTAATTTTAGAATCTTATTATTTAGAATTCTATGATATAATTCTATATAATAAAATATTATTTTTAAGTTTCAGGTTATCATTAATCTTAAACAGATTTTAAAAACTAATAATATAATAGATTGTATGATTTCATTCAACATCTTCTTGACTCTCAATTTTATGACGCCAAAATTTATAAAGGTATGCAACATTAATATCAAATAGAGATTACATACTTCACATTTCTAATATTTACTCTTATATTCTTTAAGTTTGTTTTTTATTTTTTTAACAAACTTGAATATTAAATTCTCCTGTTGGGATTAAAGTTTAAGAATCACAAATTATCTTCTTTGCAAATTAAGAGGATGTGAAGTTTAGTTGTCAACTACGCATAATCAAGCTTTCTACAAAGCTTATTTGTACATACATAGAACCGCTCCTACCATCTTAATAATCAATCTATTAGTTTAGTTTTGTTTAGTCTCTCACTTAGCATTCAAATCATTATATTTTTAATATTAATCTATCAGGTTGGCAAAAAAAAAAAAAAAGGATAGACCCATTACGAACAATTAATACCCACTTGAGAATAAAATGTTAATGGCTTCTTCATTTAAAATTTTGGGAAATCTTAATATAAAATTTATGGCCACTAAAATTTAAGGTCTTTAGAGGCAGATAGTTAGTTGTGGGAAATAATTTATGCTTAATTTATTGTTCAATTATAAGGATGTCAAAGGTTATGATTACTAATTAAATATCTTTAGATGCTTTTAAAACTAATGAAAATACACATGTATGTAAGTAATATAGATAGAAGACAATATAAAAAGATTGCAATGGATTAATAAAACTATGCCTTTGTTTTCCTTAGCAAGCAAGAAAGGTAAATTTAAGGGGTAACAAAAGGAGGCCTCGTGGATCAATGAGGTTATAATATATTCAATCAAGCAATTAACTTAAATTGATCTACGAAAATATTAAGATGGTAGTAAATAAATTCAAAATTTATTACAAAAATTTAAAAAACCTAATAATTAATTAGTCCTAAAAAAAAAGTTTGAATGGGAAATGTGATGGGAGAAGATTAGATAGATAATCTATTGGGTGGTTTAGGGTTTGGACAGCGTATAAACTATACATGTATGTATAGGTGTGTGAAAAGAAAAGGAAAATATTTTTGCATGGGATAGTAAGCAACTTTTTTATGAGATGCTTTTTGGGAACATAAGTAGAAGGACCAAGCTAGATCTGATTTTAAAAGGGCAACCTTTGTTTTGCATGAGACTCAGCTTTTTAGGGTGTTTGGCCAACCCAACTTATTTACTGTTAATTCACAATAAGACAGAAATTAAACAAGTTTATTTTCAAACCAACACCAACCTCCCAACACCCACCCATTTATTTGTTTATACATAATAAAAGTTTTTAAAAAAAGGAAACATGAGTAGCATGCAATGGGAAACAGTATAATCGATGGGCTTAAATTTAATTATTAATTTGAAATAGTCGTTTTCAAAATGAAGTAATAAAATAATAATTGAATTAAATTTTCACATTTGCTTGCACGTCCTCTGTAAATCTAAATTATATATTACCCAACACCTTCTTCTGTCCAACATGACGGCCCTTTTCTCAAAGGACCACCCGCTTCATTTTCGTTTTTCTTTCACCACTCTCTTCTTCTTCTTCTTCTTCTTCTTCCTCCTCATCAACCCCCTCTCTCTCTCTCTCTCTCTCTCTCTCTCTCTCTCTCTCTCTCTCTCTCTCTCTCTCTCTCTCTGTACCAAACTCTACGTCATCATCGTCGAAACAAGACCTTCCTGTTAATTTTACCCTGGTGTCTCTGTCCTTGCCGTTTGCAGTCACTGACAGTTGAAGGTTTTTTTTTTCCTTTTCCTCTCAGAGTCCTTTTCTTTCTTTGTCGGGTGTATATATATACACAAACACATATATTATCATGCCGAGCAGCTTCAATACTAACCCATTTATGACTGAGCAAGAGGATAACGAAAACAGACCTGAAAACGGCCCCGAATCTCCTCCTTCCAATACCTATGGTGACGGGAAGATTACTTCTGTTTTGTCTCCTAAAAGAAGGTAACCAATCTAAAATTATCACCTCCAATTAAACTGTAAATATATATGATGTTGTTTGTGTGTGTGTGTATATATATATATATATATATGTATACGAGTTTATGAGAAGTAATTGACGTATGTGAAATGAGTTCCTTTTTTTGTTACAGTAGAAAATCAATTCAGAAAAGAGTAGTGTCAGTGCCAATCAAAGAAGTTGAAGGATCCCGCCTGAAGGGCGAAACAGCTCCACCGTCTGATTCTTGGGCCTGGAGAAAGTACGGTCAGAAACCCATCAAGGGCTCCCCATATCCCAGGTAATTAACCATCGTCATCTTCCACGACCCAGACGAAGAAAAATATTTTTCAGAGGGAATTGATAGAGTGTAATACATGGTAGTATCTTAAGTTGCATTTCGAGCAATCGTGAACCGCTGATCAGAAATGTGTGATTGATTTTCGCAGAGGATATTACAGATGTAGCAGTTCAAAAGGTTGTCCGGCAAGAAAACAGGTGGAAAGAAGCCGTGTGGATCCCACTATGCTACTCATCACGTACTCCTGCGAGCACAACCACCCTTGGCCTGCTTCTAGAAACAGCACCAGCAAGCAACCAGTCAAACCCGAAACAGCTCCCGTACCCGACCCAGAACCCGATCCCGATCCAGCAGATTCCGAGAGATCAGAACCGGAGGAGAAGTTCACGAATCTGGGGGAGGATTCACTGATGGCCGCCACCACTCCAGGGGACGAGTTCACTTGGTTCAGCGAGATGGAAACGACGTCGTCGACGGTGCTGGAGAGTCCCATTTTCGCTGAGAGAACTTCCGGAGACGCTGACGTGGCGATGTTTATCCCGATGAGGGAAGAAGATGAATCGCTGTTCGCCGATCTAGACGAGCTGCCAGAGTGCTCCATGGTGTTCCGGCACCGCAATGTGGGGTCACAAGTTGAAATCTGCTGACACGCGGCGTCATCCGATTCGCTCCTCTAATAGAAAAAGTGCCAAAACGATGTAGTACGCACCGTGCGCCTCAAGATAACTCCCAAAAAAACAAAAAAAAGAATTTAATTTTTTATTATATATATATATATATATATTTTTTTTTTCAAAATTTCCTTATTTTGCGTTAATAGTGGATGGATGCCTTGATTTTAGTGTAGCTAATGAATAATAATAAAAAAAAACATGTCTGATTCCAAACTCTGCCGAGATCCTACTGTAAATTAGCATCAAAGCCGCCCGTGTTGAACGGCTTGGATTTCGCCACGTCAGTGCAGATATTTTGATTGGACCAGCTCACTTCTTCTGCAAAATTTAAATATATAAATATTTGATGATCTCACACTTGCTTGGCATTTATAATTTTAGGCAATACTTGTTAATTTAATCAGTTGTCTGTATTTGTTATAAAATTATATTTTATTAAAAAAATTACATTATTATGTGTGTAGCTGTGCGTTTGAATATAATAAATTGCTTTAAAATTTTACATTAATTTTTTTATTATTATTACAAATTAAAATGTAATAACTAACGAGAGACTTGATCGTCCTACAAAAACGATCTAATCAAAAGCATACACTTTAATATTATATATTCCTACATCCATATATTTTATTTTATTTTTAAAAAATATTATATGGAGTAGTAAAAACCCAGGTAAAATCCAATATTTATGTGGTTTTTTAAATGATAGTTACTAATTTTTTTAATAAAAATAAAAATTATCTTCAATTGGGTGGAGCCTACAATGAGCAGAGAAGACAAACATATGTAGAGAGGAGAGGAAATTTGATTAAACTATGAACAACCAATGGTTTGATTGGACGATTAAATATTATTTGCAAATCTGCCGGCCAAAGCCTGATAAAAAAGTCAAGTAAATGAAAAAGAAAACCATATATATATTATAATAATAATAATGAAGAGGAGATTTGACTTTTGACTTTTTAGAGATTAGATTATAGAGAAGGAAAGCTGGAAAATACCTGTACAGATACAGCCATTACCAGGAATGCATTCACATGATTTTTTTAGGTCATTAATTGGATTCTACCATTAAAAATAATTAATTTAACTGGATAAAACTCATGCATGTGCTTATCCATATTTATACAATAATGTCTAAAATCTTTATTATAAATAAATAAATAAATAAATAAAAATTGCAGGGAGTGGTTGAGGATCAGATGGAAAATAATTTATAAACAGAGAGTGGGTCAAATAAATACATCATTTTTTTTATAACCCTTCTTGGATTTTGCTCTACTGCAATTATAAGTAATTTATATATATATACACATATAGAGATGGAATCATGTTTTTTTTTTTTTTTAATAAATAAATAAAGATAGGATTCCTTAATTAATTTTTATTTTAGAGATTTAAATAATATAATTTAGATAAGATGATGAGATCATCGATATTTACAACATAAATTAGTGTATGTTTAATTCGTTGAATGGGTGCATTACAATATTTAGTTCGTAATGGAAAATAATTCATTGTTTGAAGATATTAAAGGTTACAAAATTGAAAAATTACAAAATGAGTATAATAATCTTAATGAATTTGTTTGGGAATATGTATACTTCACGTATATATTAACAATTATAAGCATATATTATTTGATGATAAATTGATGAAATTTCGTGTGATTATTTTAATTACTAAAAGTTATTTATTTCTTATTTTTATTTTTATTTCATTATGCTTTTTACAAATTTTTCCTAAAACCTCTCTTGACCATTGAAATTATTTAATATGCTCAGTTTTTTTTTTTTTTTTTTTAAAAAATTGATTATTAATTAAGAATTTTCTAAACATCAAAGCATCTTATAATATCAATTACTAGTTTTGAAAGTAAATTCCACGACTGTAGACAATGTTATAATACCGTTATATTAGTTTATGTTATAATACTATTTTGATGTAGTAACTGTTTCGTAATTTTTATTAAATCAGTTAAAATTCTAAAGTTATATGATATATTCTACTGTTACGTATGTTTCTTTAATGAATAATGACATGATTTACTAGGCTCGTTTTTTTTTTTTATTTGTATAAGATATATGTGTATAATCTTTTGTGATCAAAATAATTATGCCGAGTGACAAATAAATCTTTAGTACATGTTTTATCACGAACAAAGTAGCAGATAACATTAAATGTTTGACAAAGAAATTTGTTTTAAAATTAGATTTTCAAAACGAGTGAACTTTAACTTTTTAAATAAAATCATATAAAAAAAAAATGACTTTTATCACCATTTCTACTCATGCCAATGGTTGAAGTTCTTGATCACATATTAAGTCATGGTTGTGGAAAAGATTTCATTAGAGGCTAATGTATCAGAAAGAATAATATCTAATCCAAATATTTGTAAGGCATCATCATACACACTCGAGAGTACTACAAGGCACTTTAAATGCACAATTACATTCTTTTAATTTTAGTCTATGCTTTGGACTTTGGAGTCATACTTTAATTTAGGCATTTCAAAATTTTTCCTTCCTGTCACCTGATAAAATATGTATAGTCTCAAAAGTTTACTTACTCTAAATTCTCTCATCAAATAGGTTTTCAATCCTTATAAAAGCACATAAACATCTCTCTCACTAAAATTCCATTGCCAATTCATTGCTTCTGCACTCAGAACAGATTATTGGATCAAACAACAGATGTAGAAATAT